GTCCTACTTACCGTGGACCACCCAGGACCATCACCCATCACCAATGGGCACTGCACCTGCACCAGGTTCGGGCTCGTACACATATGTGGTGTCATTGTCGGCCTATTTTTCACCGAAACTGCGGTATTTCCCCGAATTGGTGTCTTTTTTTTTTCTTTTTTTTTTGTGTGATATGTATGTGCTTTAGGGTATATCTGTGTTCACTTTCAATGCATTTGGACCGCTAACAAAAAAGTTGGCAAAAACTTCGAATTCGGGAAATTCAAACAAATTGGCGAACTCTGAAAGCTACTCCGAATAGGGTTTTATAATGCTTTTTAGTGTTTTTTTTTGCCTGTTTTTTTTTTTTGATGTTTGTATTATGAGCCTGCATTGTTTGTTCACAAAATTTTTGACGACATTGCTTGTGGTGGTGCGGCGAAACCCCCCGAATTTTTGGCCTACCATTAACCATCTCCCGTACCCATACCTCAGGAATACTACTTATAGAGGAAGCTTGTGACAAATGCACCTTTGCCAACTTGTGAGCAAGTTGATATCGTTCTTTCCATGCCCCATACGAGTAAGAAAACGATGATACGAGTACGGAAACAATGATACGAGTAAGAAAAAGATGATACGAGTAAGAAAACGATGATCCGCGGCCCATGATACGATGATACGAGTAAGAAAAAGATGATACGAGTAAGAAAAAGATGATACGAGTAAGAAAACGATGATCCGGGACCGTGATGTGTCTCGAATTGTGAAGGCAATGCCTGCTTGCGACGGACACGCCTGAGCAGTCAGGGCCGTCCAAAGGGGAGGAACTGCGACGATGAGGAAACCAGACTTGCCATGGTCACGGGTTTTTATTATTTGGCTTTGGTAATGGTGTTATCGTTTTCCATGATGCATACAGCGAAAGGAGGGAGTATCCTACTGACAGTGTTGAATACAGGAGTCAGGTCCCATTAGCAAAGAGGATTGGACTAAATTCCTGAATCTGGATGCGTTTTGCTCAGAGATGCAGAAAAGCAGATCAATGGCAATTTTCTGCATCTTTCCACAAGCAAGTCCAGATTCAGGAATTAAATCCAATCCTCTGTGCTAATGGGACTAGGCCCCAGGTCCATGATTAGGTTTTACAGGATGTCATTGATGTTTTCGATACAGTCTTCGTTTCGAATAGAGTTGAAGTATTCAATGAAGCGTACGAATAAGGGTAAAAAATGATGAAAAACAAAAAAGGAAAATTGCATCTGTACCCCACTAAAAGATGGGAATACCTGCTATACCCAGTCCCAGCACGAACTTGCATCTGTACCCCACAAGCCGTTATCTGGGCAGGGATGCAAGTTGGCGCTGGGACTGGGTATAGCCGGTGTTCCCATTCTTTTTTTCCCCCCCTCTTGGATAGTCCCTTATATTTCAAACGGCCAGGAAACGGGCCTGGCATGACATCTCTCACAAAAAATAGTTGGTCCCCTCGGAGGGCCCATCTTTAAGTGGGGTACAGATGGAATGTTCCCCAAAAAGAATAAAATATTTAAGTTCCTCAGCCGTATCCTCAGGTTTTATTCTTTAAATAAATTAATAAAATGGCTAATATTCAAAGAAATTAGGGGAAATTTTCAAAATGCCCCTGAAGTTTGCGTTTATTTGCAGCGTGCCCCTGTGAAGGCCGACTTACCCTGTTATGCCCCTCGGGCCTCTGAACTTTTCCGCAGGCCCCTGTCAGCACGGGGCGTAACTTTCCGATATGCCCTTACTGGGCCGCTGGTTGCATTTCGTCGGTCCATCCTTGAAATGCCCTCACGAGGGGCACACATCTTTCTGTGATGCCCTTGAGAAGTGGCGGCAGTACTTCTAATTTGAAAATGGTAGGTACTTCACGCGTCTTCTTGGTGCCATCGCCGGTGCAAGCGCACGCGGCTGTGTGTGTGTGTGTGTGTGTGTGTGTGTTCACATCATCTTTCGTTTTCTTGTTGGTTGTTGTATGTGTGTATGTGTGTGTGTGTGTGTGTGTCGTTATATCCCTCCACTTCGACATTCTGGACGTATAGAGCAATCGTCGTACATTCAACTTTGGAGCATCTGAATGTATCTGGTGCATTGACAACGCCAGATACATTCAGACATGGATGCATAGGGGCCCCCTCTCTCTCTCTCTCACACACACACACCCACACACACCCACACACACACACACACACACACGCACACACACGCACACACACACACACGAGCACGTGCGCTCACGTGTGTGTGTGAGAGAGAGAAAGAGAGAGGGGGCCCGGCTGTAGCTGCCCCCCCTCCTGCCTGGTCCCACCCGCAGCGATCTGCTACCACCCACTCCCCCTGCCATCTCGCTTCAGCGCTCTCTCTCTCTCTCTCTCTCTCTCTGTCTGTGTGTGTGTGTGTGTGTGTGTGTGTTTATGTGTGTGTGTGTTTGTGTGTGTGTGTGTTTGTGTGTGTGTCTTCACGTCATCTTGTTTGGACAGGTAGTATATGATGACGAATCGAAGGTATTTGTCATTCGTTTTTTTTTTTGTTTTTTTTTTTTGTGTGTGGGTGTGTGTGTGTGTGTTGGTATCATCTTTTGGTTTACTTGTTTGATTGGACAGGTGGTATATGATGATGAATAGAAGGTCCTCCCTACTCCTCTTCCCTCCTCTTCCCTTCGTAGGGACTGCAAGTGTCAACAACGGCGACAGGGGCTTGCTGGAAAGATGGACGGTACCGGTAAGGGCATATGGAAAACTTTACTGCTGTTTCTCAACAGGCAGCCGGTAGGGGCATACTGAAAATTTGGTACTGGTACCGGTAGGGGCATATGAAACATTTTTGAGGCCCAAACGACACCAGGGGTATTCTGGAAACATCATTCGTTGTCAGAGGGGCACGACAAGGTAAGTCGGCCGCCAGAGGGGCATGCTGCAAATAAACGCAAACTTCAGGGGCATTTCGAAAATTTTCCCAAGAAATTAATAAAATACCTGTGGAATCTGGCCAGGACAGCCTTTCAGGCACTTTTTTTGTCAGTAAGGCCCCGTCGCAGCCACATCCATGCCTCCAACTAGGGAACATGGGGGAGCTGCACCCACCAGCAGCTCAATGCCACTGGGGGGGACCAACTGCATATCTCTAGGAGGTAGGCTCCAGGCTTGGCCACAAAGGTACATGACCACAAAGGGGATTGAACCCAAGACCTCATGAATGCCACTCGTGTGCCTTACCAACTGAGATAGGCCGCTGGATTCCGGTTTATCGTGGAGTCATGCTTATCACTGGCCTTTGGCACATCCGTGAAAATCGGAAGGAGACAGAGAAGGAAGATTAGCATGGCCCCTGTGCAAGGATGACAGGCATAAATCGAGAATAGGTTTTATTCCGCAGAGCACCCAGCGGGTCGAAACCTGACTTGGGCTGTCCGTACTACCTGCACGACTGCAGGTCAGTGGGGGCATGTCCCAGCCGCATCCTTCAGCCATGGTGGTGGAACTTGAACAGTTGGAACGGGTCCATGATGGAATATGCTCACAGCATACCGGTTTCCCCACGTCGCACGCAGTCCACACAGTCTCGCGTGGTGCTCTAGCAGGGGCTCATCACCTGCAGAGCTCTACGACCTATGTGTGCTCTGGGCGCGGACAGCGCTGGCTCTTCAGATGGCAAAGGTTATGGCCCCTGCATATGTGCAAAGACATCGAGCGAGCGAGCGAGCGAGCGAGAGAGAGAGAGAGAGAGAGAGAGAGAGCTGGGACGGGGAAAGTGGGAAGGGGTAGCGTTTGTGTGTCGGTCCACCATGTTGTGAGAGTGTGTGTATGGAGGGGTGAGCATGTGTGTGCCGATCCCCCCTGTTCTCATGTGTGTTTTTGTGTGTGTGTGTGCGTGTGTGTGTGTGTGTGTGTGTGTGTGTGTGTGAGAGAGAGAGAGAGAGAGAGCAGGGGGGATCTACACAGAAATGGTCCACACACACACACACACACACACACACACACACACACACACAGAAGCGGGGGAGGGCGAGCTGCCCTCCCCCTGCTCTCTCTCTCTCTCTCTCTCTCTCTCTCTCTCTCTCTCTCTCTCTCACACACACACACACACACACACACACACACAC